TTTTGCATTTGTGTTTCAAAGATAATTTTTCTGGGTATAGAATTCTCCGTTGGCATATTTTTCCTTTCATTTCTTTAAAGATACTGCTTCGCTGTCTTCTTCCAAGGAGTCATCTTCTGTCATTTCTCTTTTATTCCTTGTCTGTGATGTGCCTTTTTCATCTGTCCACTTTTAAGATTTTCTCTTTATCATTGGGTTTGAGCAATTTGATTATCATGTGCCATGCTGTAGTTTTCTTTATGACTCTTGTATTTGGGATTGGTTGAGCTTCTTTTTTCAAAAAAATAAAAAGCTGACCGGTAAGGGGATCTTAACCCTTGACTTGGTGCTGTCGGCACCATGCTCTCCCAAGTGAGCTAACCAGCCATCCCTATATAGGGATCTGAACCTGTGGCCTTGGTGTTATTATCATCACCTCACTCTCCCAAGTGAGCCACAGGCCGGCCCTGGTTGAGCTTCTTAAATCTATGTGTTTACAGTTTTTTTCAAATTTGGAAAATTTTCAGCCTTATTTCTTTAAATATTTCTTCTAATCTCCTCCTCTTCTTTTGGAGACTCCAATTACATGTATATTAGGCTGTTTGAAGTTGTCATACAGCTTACCAATACTCTGTTCATATTTTTTATTTTTTCCTTCTGCATCTTGCATTGTTTCTGTTCCTATGTCTTCAATTCACAAATGTTTTCTTCTATAATATCTAATCTGCTATTATTCTATCCAGTGTATTTTCTCATCCGACATTGAAATTTTCATATTCTGAAGTTTAATTTGGAATTTTTTTTTTTTTTTCCTTTTTGTCTTTTTTCGTGACCGGCAACGGATCGCAACCCTCAGTGTCACGCCCGTACCGGACCGGGACCAGCCACGGGATTGCAACCCTCGGTGTTGCCCCCGCCCCTCGCTCAGCCAGTGAGCGGCCGGTCTGTATGTGGGATCCGAACCCTCGGCGGGAGCGCCACCGCACTTCCCAAGCGGCGCACTATAGCAGTGCGCTGCCGGGCCGGCCCTAATTTGGAATTTTTAACATCATTTGTGCTTCTACTTAGTGTTTTAAACTTGAACATCTTTTTAAACACAATTATAATAACTTTTAATGTCCTTTTCTATTAATTCCAACATCTGTGTCAGTTCTAGGTTAGTTTTAATCATTAATATTTCTCATTTATGGGTCATATTTTTCTTTATACCTGATAATTTTTGTTTGGATGTCAGATATTATGAATTTTATTTTGTTGAGTGCTGGTTATTTTTATATTCCTATAAATATTCTTGATGATTGCTTGTTGTGCTGTTACTTGGAAGCAATTTGGTGTTGCTTTTGAGATTTGTTTGCAAGACCAGGGCCATATTTAGTCTAGAGCTAATTATTTCCCACTACTTAGGCAAGACCTTTTTGAGTACTCTACCCAGTGAGATTTTCCACTGTGTCTGATGGGAACATACACTATTCCTGGCCCTGTATGAATGCCAAGTTCTGTGTCCTCTCATTTTTGGTGTGGTCCTTTCCTTTAGTCTGCTGGTTTCCTCATAAGCCTGCCCTGATCCGTGCTCTGCTTAATATCCAGTGTCCTTTTCAGATCTCTGGAGTTGTTTCTGTGTCCAGCTTTCTCCTCTCTGATACACTAACCTTTGAACCCTACCTGCCTTGCTTTCCTCAGATTGTCAGTTTCATCTGATCAACTCAGGGTATCTGCTGGGCTCTGCTTAGGTTCCCCTCCCTGTGTTATGGCCTGGAAACTTCTTTGTTACCTGATGCTCAGTATCTTGAAAACCATTGTTTCATATTGGGGGGGGGGGTTGTTTGTTTCTGTTTGTTTCAAGCATGGCGATATATCTGGCCCACATTACTCCATCTTGGCTGTAAGAGGAAGTCTCACTAGTCTGTTTGAGAGAGTTAGAACGGAAGGCTTTTAAGGTTTCTCTCAATTCTGAGATCTTTGATTCTGTGTTATAAACCTTTAACACCTCATTTTCACATATCCACAGTATCCCTTTCTCTCCTCAAAACACTTAACTATCTGTGTTTATGGTTAGAAGGTTGGTTGGGGGCCGGCCCAGTGGCGCACTGGATAGTGCACCGCTTGGGAAGCACGGCGGCGCTCCCGCCCGAGGGTTTGGATCCCACATACAGACCGGTTCCCGCTCACTGGCTGAGCAAGGTGCAGGGGGCAGCACCGAGGGTTGCGATCCCGTTGCCGGTCCCGGTCCGGTACAGGGGCGACACTGAGGGTTGCGATCCGTTGCCGGACACAGAAAAAGACAAAAAAAAAAAAAAAAGAGCAAAGAAGGTTGGTTGGGATTAACTGTAGGCTGTAAATGAACCTTATTTATGATACAAACAACATTACATAGAATGATGGCAGTCAAGGTATAACAGCAGAAAAAATGGATGTTTAATATTCTTAACATATTTAAAGCTGTCATAATCTAGTCTTCTAGGATGTGGCCAAAGAGTTCCCTTCAGGAACTAGGCAAGTAAGATTTTAATTGAAATCTTTTATTTTTAACAGCCACAGAGCTATACAACTTTCGTTTGCATTCTGAAGTAATTACAGTAACCTTTCATTTCAGTGGAAAATATTCAACTGTAGTGAATGTTAAATAGCATGTAAGATATCTCAAAACCTGTATTTTGCTTAAGGGAAGAGAAAGATAGATGACTTAGCTTTAATGCTAGCACTTAATAGCTACAAACCTTTAAATATAAACCTTTAATTAAAACCTAATAATATATTTAAATATTTTTTCATTTGAGACTATTTTTTCAATACAAAATGAAAGTAATATCAGTACTCTTCTGAAAGGATTGCATTGGATATGTATAAAAATACTTTTTAAACCAGTGTTTTTCAGGATTTTTTAAAAAATCATAACCCAGTTATAAATACATTTGACATGGAGATCTCATAAATATACGTATATATAATCACAACACAAAACTTACTACTATTTAAGATTTATACTGATATTTTCTATTCTGTTTCATTGAAAAGTAAACCTTTAGTAGTGACTCATTTATGAGTCATATGTCAGTTTAAAATACATTGTCTATATGAAGGAAAAAAACTATGAGGTACCGTATTAATAAAAGGTAGTGATTCTTAGATTACATACTGTCAATTCTGTTATCAAGTTGCACTTCAAAACAGTTTGAGTATAGTATGGTTATTAATAATTTATACACAATTGTGTCTCCACATTTTCAGTCCTAACCTTTCTTTTCCCTAATAAGTGGGCTAGGAATAACTCGTAAATAATTAAAAGAGATGCCTCGGGCCGGCCCGGTAGCGCACTGCTGTAGTGCGCCGCTTGGGAGGTGTGGCGGCGCTCCCGCCGAGGGTTCGGATCCCACATACAGACCGGTTCCCGCTCACTGGCTGAGCGAGGTGCGGGAGCAACGCCGAGGGGTGCGATCCCGTTGCTGGTCCCGGTCTGGTACGGGGGCGACACTGAGGGTTGCAATCCGTTGCCGGACACGGAAAAAGACAAAAAAAAAAAAAAAAAAAAAAAGAGATGCCTCTAAGTTTATCTTTTAAATAATGAAATTCTAGTGGTTTCTTATGCTAAGGATTATGGGTTTGAGGCATGGTAAAAGTCCTGGAAGTAGTAATAGCTTTGCATCCTTATTTGTTAATTAGATAGCATTTCTTAAAACTGAAATTGTTTCCTGTTTTTGTCCTATATCACTTAAACAAGATTCATAATCCATTAAACAGATGCTGTCATAGTGAAAGACTCCCTTGCAGTGAATTAAATTTTTCAAGATACTTAGTTATCATTTGGTTTACTTAAGAAATAAATGGCTAAGGGGAATTAAACCCATTATTTGTGGTCTGCTAGCCAAAGAGGTTTTATTCTATCCTACATTTTATACAGACATGTGCCACAAGAAAATACACATTGCATCATTTTCCACAGAAAGCATTCAGGTTTTCCTAATAACTAAGAGAGTGACTAGGCTAGGACTTAGGTTCCCTAATAATCTTCCATAGGTTCTGCTGTAACAGAGAAACCATTACTGTTAAAAGCCTCCTGTCATACCACATTATCCTTCTCAACACTTTGTTAGAACAGAGGTTCTCTTTGTAGCAGAGGCCTCCCTGCCTCCCCTCTCCTAAGTTTAACCTTCTCTATTTCTAGAGGTAAGAATCCTTAGTTTAGAAAGAGACATGAAAGAGCTCATACAACTGGTTGTAGCAGTAAGGTAGCAGTAATTCTGTAAATTTATAAACGGTTTTTGATTTTTTTTCTGTGCAGATAAACATGATTAAAATGTTCATGTTTTTTCTTTATAGACCTCAAACTTTTCCAAACTTGTAGGAAATCTGTTGCTGTGTAATTACAGTGGAAAGAGTTATGTGATCTAATGCTCAAATAATCTACTGGAGGACATTGGATATGAAAATGTTTTCTTAATGTGTTTTCAAGATGTCTGTGACCTTTTGAAATTGTTTTTCCCCACACTTAATTTTAAGGCTCCTAGATTGGCTGAGTTGAGCAATAGAAATTAATGAGGTAGAGTGCTTGAATTGAATAAACTGGAAGAAAATATCTCTCTCTAGTAAACTGTTATTACTATACCAGAAACAATTTATAGAAACTCAATTCCCAAATGGTCATATGCTTTAGTTGGGAAATGGTGCATTAATCGAAATATTATGTTAATACAGAGTTATAAGCAATACAATTTTCATATAATTAGAGAACATTAGAATCTATGTAACATAAAGTATGCTAAACATAATTTTAATATTTCTTTGATTTAGGAAGTTATGGATATGTAGGTATAATGATTAAAAGTATTATACATAATATTTTAGTGTTTTGTAAGGTATTTTTCTTAATAATTTCTCCCAGTGTATCCTGAATATTCCAAATTATATCAGCACCTCTCATGGTGTCCCACATATAGTAGTCACATAGCTAAGTTTATTGAAGCTTCCAACAATCCGATATACTTAAGGAAACAATTCTGATTGATTCTGATCTGTTTCTTTCAGAAAAGTCATCATTCATATCATGGATTTTATAGATCACATTGCTTTATTCTGGATTTCTTGGTAACAGTACAGGAAGTATACATAATTTCTCATTTCTGCAAGTAGTTATGACTGAAGAAAGAAATTTTTTAAGCTACGGCAGAATTCATTGTGGTACCTTTTGTGGAAATTCTGATTTTGTTTTTAATTTTTGATAACTTTTAGCTAAAGGTATGAACAAGCAAAGAGCTTATTTTGTTAGGCAAGTACACATTTATAAGGATGCCTAGAAGAGGACTGATTTTTCAGACCCGGGCCCACTGGCTGCTGTTGGGCCTTGCTTTGCTCTGCAGTTTGGTATTATTTATGTACCTTCTGGAATGTGGCCCCCAGACTGATGGAAATGAATCCCTTCCTGGTGTTATCGGAGAAAGTTATGGCAAAGAGTATTATCAAGCCCTCCTACAGGAGCAAGAAGAACATTATCAAACCAGGGCCACCAGTCTGAAACGTCAAATTGCCCAGCTGAAACAAGAATTACAAGAAATGAGTGAGAAGATGAGATCATTGCAAGAGAGAAAGAATGTGGGGGCTAATGGCATAGGCTATCAAGGCAACAAAGAGCACGCACCTAGTGATCTTTTAGAGTTTCTTCATTCCCAAGTTGACAAAGCTGAAGTTAGCATAGGAGCCAAACTACCCAGTGAGTATGGGGTTATTCCCTTTGAGAGCTTTACCTTAATGAAAGTATTTCAATTGGAAATGGGTCTCACTCGTCATCCTGAAGAAAAGCCGGTTAGAAAAGACAAACGAGATGAATTGGTAGAAGTTATTGAAGCTGGCTTAGAGGTCATTAATAATCCTGATGAAGATGATGAACAGGAAGATGAGGAGGGTCCCCTTGGAGAGAAACTGATATTTAATGAAAACGACTTCATAGAAGGTAATGTGAAAAATATGTTGGTCAGTAGTTACATTAGTATGACAAAATGCTACTATTGTATGCTGATAACGTGTCAGTCATAATCCTCAGTATTAAAACATTTAAGTTTTTACCCATTTCATTCCACCAAGAATTTGAAGTGGATTTTTGGGAAAAGTTGTAATGAGATCATAATAAAAATAGAGCATAAGGACCAGAGAAATAGAATAAACCTAAGCTTATATAGAGTAATACTAACCACTGAAGTTGATGGGCTCTTGTGGGCTCTGTGTGTATTTATTTGCAGGTGTATGATTTGCATTCCTCTCTTTTCTGGTCTTGGTGTTCCTTTTTTATGTTTTAAAAAATGTATGAACTATGGCTCAAAATTTGAAAACCATTTGATAAAGGAAGGAAAAAAACTAATGTAGTAGACTAGTTTTTTTTCCGTGTTGGAGGAAGCACATGTCAGAACACCAATGGGGTATATACATAGTTTTGAAAAGCAAATTTGGCATTTGGAAAAGTAAAGAAACAATCTGTTTTCCTAATACAGATTGCGGAAAGGGTATGGAATTTTTATAGTATATCAAGAAGAGATATGACTCAAAGGTTGAAGAATACTGTTATAAATTTAAGATATTTGTTGATTGATGTAAGCAGGAATGATTATAGATCCCTATCAATTTTTATAGTATATCAAGAAGAGATATGACTCAAAGGTTGAAGAACACTGTTATAAATTTAAGATATTTGTTGATTGATGTAAGCAGGAATGATTATAGATCCCTATCCATTTCCATCTCAATACCCCTTGCTAGATATTTAATTGCAGGCTTAAAACCATTCTGGATATAAATCTTTCTTAATAGTTCCCTTTGCTTGATTCTATAAACAGTATACCACATGTAGTTTTTTTTGACCCCACATCATCAAGGCTGTCACTTGCTGTACTGTGGTATAATACACTGAAGCCTGTGGAGGCCATCAGGGTGGGGTGTTAGGCTTTGCTGTGGCATTTCAGCTGTCTTCTCCCTATGTCCTCCTCTTTTCTCCCACCACTTCCTGTCATTTTTGATGGATTGTTTTTCTTAAAACTCTTCTAATTTTTCTGCAAGCTCAGCTTTTTGTCTTTATAGCTCATGGCAGAATTGAAAGCTGCAGAGGAAGTAAGATAACTAAATAGTATGTTTAAAATATCTCCACTTCAGCTCTGCCTAAAAAAGAAAGGAAGCTATGCCAGTGTTATATTCTACAACTTTTGCTTATCTTGGATACTGTCACTTTCAGGATTTTTCTCTGCGTGGAACATATTCAGTCCCTCAGTTTTTCTCCACTCTGCCAGTGCCCCTTTTCACCCCCTGCAAGTAGTTACTTGTAACAACTGAGTAACTCCTATTTCTCTTCCAGACTTTAGCTCAGATGTCAGTTCTTGTGTTTTCTTGTCACTTCTATACTGCATCCTGTTTCTTAGTGCTTGTCACAGTATATGGCATTGCCCATTTCCCGGTTCATAGTTCCTGCTAGACTGAGCCTCGGGAGGGTTGGGACCAAGTCTATCTTGTTCACCATTTTATTCTCATAAATTGACTGAGTGATTCACTCATCTATAGGACTACCTTCTCTCTCCTGAGTATCACACTTAAAAATCAGATTGCTCCGTACTTTTCTCCCAAAGGTATCTCAAATCACTGCATCTAAATGAATGCCAACTTTCTTTGTCTGACTTCACACTGTTCACTGAAAAAATATGTGTGTGTGTGTGTATCACTATATTATTATTATTTATTTTTGTATATCCTTCACTAGACTGGCCCTTCCTCAAAACTGGTACCATGTGACCCTCTTTATGTCACTGTGACTGACACAAAGGCACTCAGTTCATTTTTGTTGAGCTGAACCGAGCAATAGAAGTTTTGACTCTTGGGTTCAAAATTTAATAATGTTAGAAGTAATTTCCTTGTTTGTCGTATGGTTACTGTGTTCATAGGCTCTAGTATTAAAAGAAAGTCATATGTAAAAAGGAATAATTGTCATTTGTACCATATTTAATGAATTAAATAATATAACAGAACAGTGAACTTTTTTTTTTAACCTTTTCTCTAAAAGGAATAGTTGTTTCAGACTGTACGGTGGGGATCAAGATTTTCACAAATAGATGATACTCTACAGGTCTGGTTTAATACTTTTGATTCCCATCGAATTTGTTAATTTTGACATGTAGATACCTTTTCTTTAGGTTATTATCGCACCGAGAGAGATAAGGGCACACAGTATGAACTCTTTTTTAAGAAAGCGGACCTTATGGAATACAGACATGTGACGCTTTTTCGCCCTTTTGGACCTCTCATGAAAGTGAAGAGCGAGATGATTGATATTACTAGATCAATTATTAATATCATTGTGCCACTTGCTGAAAGAACTGAAGCATTTGCACAGTTTATGCAGAACTTCAGGTAACTGTTAGGACTTAATGATTTGGCTAAGTTCTCTGAGAAAATCATATTTTGTGCAGATTTACTTATCTTCATTGAGTATTACTACTGAGAGTAATTTTATAGGTTTTAAGGGAACTTTATCTTTTGATATTCTATTTTTTCTTAAAACATGTGTAGTATATTGTGTTATTGACAATTTGAACTATGAAATAAATTGAGGGTGGCAACTATTAGAAACTAAATTTGGTGACCTTTATAATTGTGCATGAATTTATTGAATTTATTTATTGAATTTTAAAAAATCAACTTTGAGGCATAATTTCCGTACAATAAAATCCACATATTTTAGGGATACAGGTTTCATGACTTTTGACAAATGGATGCACTTACAAACCACCACCCCATATAAGATACAGAATGTTGTTATCTGCTAAAAAAAAATTTCCCTTGAAAACAATTTGAGTTGTAATATTGAAATAAATTTAGAAATACAAACATTCAACTAAAAATGGGAGAAAGTTATTCCATCTTGGGAAGCAGAGAATTTATAAAGGTTTTTTTTTTTAATCATTGCATTTGGATATTTTAAATGCTGAAAAAGTATTAACTACAACTTAGAATAACTATTTGAAAAAAATATTGCTTTATTTTAGTTTAACAATTGCCGTGTTTTAAATATTTTAATATTTCTTAATGTTTTAGATACTTTAATATGCTAGTTTTAATGCTTTGTGATCCTAATCTTTATTCTTATAATGAAATTTTTGGATTCAGAAGCTTAATTAACACTGTTCTGCAGCAAAATATCTGGAACTCATACTTTCAAACAAGTTTTACCTGTTTGAAATAGCTTGTTTGAGATATGATTTCCTAAAGCATTTTTTATTGCCTTTCTTGGAATTGCCTTCAGAGGCTACATAATTCTTTACAGTAAGTAATCTCAGCCATGACATCTATCTATTTCACGATGATAGGTATAATTTTTGGAATTACAGTCTGAGGACAATATTACTCTTGATCCAAAACTTGAATATTTATTTATTTGGTTCTGAACTGATGGAATTTATTTTCTTAAATAGCTTGTACTGTGCTTTTGAAAGCAATCTCAAAGCAAAAGTTCCAAAAATGTTTTGAAATATGGTGACAATGTTGGACTGCTTCCATGGCCCTTCAAAGATTGTACTCATTTAGACATAGACCTTGTGCCTTTGTTGTGATGCCTTCAATAATTCAGCAGTATTGCCGCTTTTATATTTACTTAACGCTTCATGTGATTTCATTTTGTATTAGTAATGCCTAATTTGTTTTCTTGTTAAAACTTCATGTGATTGCTTTCTGAATGAGTAGTGCCTCATGTTTTCTTGAATGAACTTTATTTTTCAATTCTGTTAGGGATGTTTGTATTCATCAGGACAAAAGGATTCATCTCACAGTCGTGTATTTTGGTAAAGAAGGACTGTTTAAAGTCAAGTCTATCCTAGAATCTGTCACAAGGTTGGTGAGCCATGTCCACAGTGAAGTCCTTGATATACAATGTTATTAGAATAGTGAGAATGTCAGAAATTTAATGAGTTAATAATTTGTAATAACTGCTGTTTAAAAACTGGCTGAGTATATGGGAGGTGGTGGTGATAATAAGTTCCTCATTTCATATGCAACTTTACATGACTGGTGTTCTCCTAACTGCTTAGCAGCCAGCCTGGCATGATCAGAACATTCTCCCTCTGTGGCCCTCTCACTTTCTATATATTTGCCTCTTCTTTCCCTTTTTCTAAATCTTATCCATTCATTTTGATATCATCATCTCCTGAACTTGTCTCTTACTTGTCACCTTTCTTCTAATTTCTCAAGCTCCTTCTTCTCCCCCTGCAAACAATGCTTTGGGCTTCCATATCCTTAAGAAACCCCCCAGCTGACTACAGTGCCCAGTAGCTATTATGTTTCTGTTCTTTCACAGCTAAACCTCACAGAACAGTAGTTCTATATCTAAGCAACCCATATAGTACCTGGCACATAGTAGGTGCTCAGAAATTTGAAGGAATGAATTAGTAACTTTTAACACTTAATTATTAATTCTTTAGCTTCTCAGCCTTTTCCTCTCTAAATTACAGGTCCAAAAGGACAACCTAACTGCCAAATTCAGCTTTTTGTTCTGTTATCTTCTCTGATCACTTTCTTATATTTGACAACCTTACCCGTACTACCTTCTTTAAATTATTCTTCTTATGTTTGTAAAATGTAAGTATTTTGTATATGTAAATATGTTGTAATGTAAACTATTAAGTTGATTGTCTTCTCTAACCATGCCAACTCTGTCTGTACCTTTTATTTGCTTCTTTACCTTTCTGCTAGTTGTGGTTCAGATTTGGCCGGCCATTCTTCTCAAATCATTCAGCTAACATTCGTTGAGTCCTACCTTCTCTGTTCCAGGTACACTGCTTGGGAGTCTTACTAGGATAGTTGGAAGAAAACTGGGCACAGATGAATGAGTCTTAGTCCCTGCCCTGCAGGGACACTCACAGCCTAGATGTATATAAACATGACTTACCGTCTGACCCTTCCCTACACCAGCTCGTCTTCCTGATAGCCCTCTTTCAGTTCGGAGTGAGACCATTCTCATGATGCCCTGAGCTTGACATCTGAGAGCCAGATTCTTTTACTTGTTCTTTACTACTTATTACTTCTAATCAGTCAATTCCTACTTACTTCATAGGACCTCTTCTCTGTCCCTTCTTTGCTACTGCCTCCACCCTAACCCTAGTTCCCTCTGCCTCCATTTCTTTCCTTCCTCTCTTCCCTCCTTACTGTTTTTAGATCACCTACAAAGTGCCAAGCACTCACACTGGTACTACTAAACTCACTCCTGTATTGTCAAGACTCCTCTGTAAGAAATGCTGTAAACCTACCTTGAGCTTGCTTACAGAAAATGAGAGTGGTATTGAAGAATCCTAGATACCTCCCAGAAATAAAGGGATTGTTATACAACCAAATTTGGGGAAGAAAATCAAAACTTTGGTGTGTCAGGGACTGGAACCAGAGATTTGAATACCATCAAAGTTCTCTTGTCGTCTTCTTGTCTGTTTTTCTCTGCATGTTGACTTCATTCTCCTGTTGCAGATTGGCTTCTTCCACATGGTGAGGGATATGGCTGTTGGCGGCTCTGGGCTCACATCTTCTCAGCTTTGCCATCAGAGAGGAAAGAGTTTTCTCCCAGCTCCAGTTGAGAAAATCCCAGGGAAGGACATTTTGCCCACTCTTGAGCCATCACTATGGCCAGGTGGGGTGGGAGTATTATGATTGGCCCAGCTTGAGCCTGGTCCCCACCCCTAGGAAATCACTGTGGTTGGGGTGGGTAGAGAGTGAGGGTGGGTAGAGAGTACTAGGTGATCAGTACCTCCACTTGGTGCTGGACATGTGGGGTGGTAAGGGGCAGTTTCCTCAAAAGAAGGGAGAGGTTTATTTACCATAAGATGTGGAGAAGAGTCCTGGGTGCTCAGAGCATTTGGATTCCATTCCATGCACTATTTGAGCCTTTGTTTCATCTCTCCATTGCCCATTCTACAGTTGTATAAGAATCATCTTCCTAAAATGTCACTTTTTTGATCGAGCTGCACTGTAGTGCAGAGAGTTCTCCAACTTTAGTAAAACACAGATGCTTGGCTCCACTCCTAGCATCTGGTTTAGGGGGTCTGAGATGGAGCCTGAGAATTTGTATCTCTGACATGTTGCCAGGAGAAGCTGGTGTGGTAGGTTTGGAGTCCTCACTGTGAGAACCACTGCCTTCGCAGAAAAACCCTGCTGATTCCTCCTTGCCTTTAGGATACTGACCAATTTCTTTAGCCTCGCATGGAAGGTACTCCTCAGTCTGACCCTTCTGTCATTGTTCACATTTTAGGGTCCCTTTATTCCAGTCTGATTTGTCTGATCCTGTTCTCTAAAGTGCTTTCTACTTTCTTACCTCTTTGCCTTTGAGAATAATTATTTGGAATGGCCTTTACACTCACCACTAAATTCAGGATTTTAACCAAGGCATAACTCAAGTTCTACTTCTAACATCTTCTCTAACTACTCCAGACATAAGCGATCTCTTTTCTCAGAACTGCTATTCATTTATTCATTCACCATATATTTATTAAGCCCCTACTCTGAGGGGCACCGTGTCCATGGTAATGAGCAAAAGAAAATCTCTGCTCTCATGGAGTAGAGGAGACACTTACACAAAATGTCTGGTAGTACTAAGGAAAACAGCTGGGGAAGAGGATAGAGATTAGAGAGAGGGAGGTTGGGGCTACTTCACATGTGGGGTCAAGGAGGATCCTTCTGACAAGGGGACATTTGTGTGAAGACCTGAAGGATATGAGAGAAGAACATACTTTGCATCATTCATGTAGAGTGCATTATATATTGCCAAACATTATGGCTGTTCTCCCATGTGTGTACTGCTTATCTCCCCAGTAGGTTTGTAAGAACCCAAAGGGCAGTGGGCACTTAACATTCTTTAAACCTCACACCACCAGCATGTTGCCTCAAATGTGGGCATTTAGTGAATATCTGTCCCTGATAATGATCATATTTGTGATGCTGATGATTTTCTTTCCCTGTATGACTGCAGAGCCAACATAATAAGATATTTGAAGTGTAAAACATATTTTTTAAGTTGTGTTGAAGGAAGAGAGTTGTTGACTTTAAGTGGGACTTATCATTTGTTGTATGTGCTTTCCTCATAGTGAGTCTAATTTTCACAATTACACCTTGGTCTCACTGAATGAAGAATTTAATCGTGGACGAGGACTAAATGTGGGTGCCCGAGCTTGGGACAAGGGAGAGGTCTTGATGTTTTTCTGTGATGTTGATATATATTTCTCAGCCGAATTCCTTAACAGCTGCCGGTTAAATGCTGAGCCAGGTGCGTAAAACATTGGTAGATGAACTGAGTATAGAATTTAGAACGGGATTGGCGTGTCCTATATTATGAATCAAGTTAATTGAAAGGAAAAGAAGTTTTAATTAAACCCTAGTATGTTTTTTCTTAAGTTATATTAGGCATAATTTAACTGGAATACTAAGTAAGAAATTGAAAATTTGACCCTCTGAAGTTCATATCCTTTGTTCTCTTGGGCCAAATTTCAATGACTACATGTAAAGCCAAATAAAGAAATGTAGAGGAGTAGGAAGTCTAGAAATTGATGAGAAGGAAGCAGTGCAGGTCAGAACAAAAGCCAAGCAGACTGTGTGGAGATGTGTGTGAGTCAGAAGTGCCAGCCTTGTGCACATAGTGCCCACATACACGCACACACATACATATGCACACTCATGCCAAGATCTAGATGCAGATAGTGCTTGGTCTTCAGGCTATGAATTTTGGGATTTAGTGAACTTTGCTTTAGATGGTAGATATTTTTTGAAAATTAATGAGCAAATGACATTTTTGTAAATCAAATTTTATTTTAAATGTGAAAAGATACTTTTCTATATTAAGCTCAACAAAAGGAATCAGTTCAGGAGATCTAATGTACAACATGGTGACTGTAGTTAATGACAATATGTTGTATACTTGAAAATTGCTGAGAGAATAGATTTTAAATGTTCAAAAAAATGATAAATATGTAGGGTGATAAATATGTTAATTAGCTTGATTTAATCATTTCACAATTTATACATATATCAAAACAGCACGTTGTACACCATAAATGTATACAATTTTTATTTGTGAATTTAAAATAATTTTTTAAAAAAGGAATCTCATAGTAAATGTTCTTTTGTAGAACTCTTCATATCCTGCAAATATTAACTTCTTATTAATAAGTTTCATTAGAGGTAGTTATCAGGAAGTCTCTGAGAGCCTAATGAGTAAATGAGGGTTAGATTTATTTTTGTTACTCCAGACAGCATGGAATTCAAAATGTGGAAGTTGAAGATGTATTTGTTCAGTGTAAAAGAAATATTTTTATATCCAGAAATAGATTCACCTCTAGGAAATTGAGCTGCCATCCCCAAATGGATTAAAATGAAAGTGGAACAGCATCTTCTAGGGTTCTTGTAATAAAAAGGCTTCCATATTATTCCCACACTCCTTGACAGTTATTGAGCACTTCATGTTATCAGGTCTGATTGAAGCCAGTCATAGCAAGGGTTTCTCTACTGAGGGGAGATGGACCAGTTAGCCTTTAAGGTCCCCTGTCCATTTGAATGCTAATGACAAGATCTTCTGCAAAGACTATTGTATCAGGTATTTTTAACCCTTGTCTTCCCAACTTTTCTAGATCTTGGATCAAATCTGTCTGCAGTTTTATATTTTAATTATTCTCTACATACCTATTTATTGTACAGTTTTCTTTGGACTTAACTGTTTCTCATGATTCGTTTTGAAGGGTAGATTTAACAGAAGTTTGTAAGTTTCTTGGTGATTGTCAGAGGTTAATGTACATCTATTACTGCTGATTAGGTAAAATAATGAGTAATAAATGGCTCACCTAATGAGTAGCTGAGAGAATACCTTTGTGTTTTTCCCCAAAGTCAAAGGGAATAAACATGTGAAGCACCCTTCAGTCTGTTTTTTCTCTGTTCTTTTGCAAGATTATAGATTCATAGCCTGACCTACTGATATGTTATGAAATCATCATCATGTTCATCAAATTAGCATGATGTTCAGTGGCCTGAATATTGATAAAATACAGTATTGATAATATAAAACAATCATATGTGATAAAAGGGACTTAGATAAAGTGTTAATAAATATTGCAATAAAGATCAGTCCTTCATTTTGTAACTTCTTTGTGTGGTATAAACATATATTTTATTTATAGGTAAGAAGGTGTTTTACCCTGTGGTGTTCAGTCTTTATAATCCTGCCATCGTTTATGCCAACCAGGATGTGCCACCGCCGGTGGAGCAGCAGCTGGTGAGACTTTTCATTGATTCAGTTATGCAAGTCTCCTGAGACATTTCATAGATTCTTTTATGTTTGTTGTATGAAGGTTCTTAAGAAGTTCATGGAAAGATTCTTATTGTCTTCTAATTCTACTTTCCCACAAACTTTTTGAAGTACCTTCATACAAGTAGAAAACAAAGTTTCAATTAAAAACTGTAGTTATTATAAACATATTCCATAGTCTCTCTTTTATATCCCTACCCCCAATAAAATGCTTTCACATCTATTGCTTCAGTGTTAAGTATCATTGGGGGCAGAAGGGAAGGTTTAGGTCACAAAGAAAAACCTCATGTTCCAGAATGTGGAAATTATACAGTCATTTCTGCCAACTTATAATACTGAACTTTTTATTTATTTATTTTTTCCTTTTTGTCTTTTTTACTGACTGGTAACAGGATTGCAACCCTCAGTGTTGCGCCCGCACCGCGCTCAGCCAGTGAGCGGGAACCAGTCTCCACATGGGATCCGAACCCTCGGCGGGAGCGCCGCTGCACTCCCAAGCGGCGCACTCTCCAGTGCGCCACCGGGCCGGCCCAATACTGAACTTTTGTAATAATACTGAAAATAAAATTTAATTTTAAAAACCCTACTACTAGAAATTAAAACTACTCTGCTAAATAACTAAGAGGAAGTAATATACTACTGAGAGGGAAATTACTTAGAAAGTCACAGAATGCGAATGCCATGTATCAAAAATTATAGCCAAAGCTATACTTACATAAGCTTTTAAAAAATTTTAAATAAAATTATTATTTTGGAATAACTTAGATTTATAGAAAAGTTGCAAAGATAATACAGAGAGTTCCTGCTCTTTACTCAGTTTCCCTGAATGCTAACATCTTCCATAGCCATGGTGCCTTTATCAAAATGAAGAATTTAACATTGGTAAATTACCACTCACTACACTACAGATTTTATTAGGATTTCACCAGTTTTTCTACTAATGTCCTTTTTTTGTTTCAGTATCCAGTCCAGGATACTAAATTGCATTTAGCATAATAATTTTTTTATTGAAACATAATTGATTATACATATATGTGGGATACAGAGTTGAATATCAGTACCTGTGTACAGAATGTCATTATCAAATCAGGATAATTAGTATATTCATCATTACAAAATGTAATCATTCTTTGTGACTCTTTACCAATTGCTGGCTAACCCCCTCTCCCTTCCCCCTTTCCCACCTCTGGTAACCACAGTTCTGTTCTCTCCTTTTGAAAGTTCAGTGTATTATTGTGATTGTTTTATCTTCCCTTCTTTCTTTTTTATTTATTTGTTTATTTTTTAGCTCCCACTTATGAGTGAGGACATGCAGTATTTCTCTTTCTGTGCCTGGCTTATTTCACTTAATATAATTTTCTCCAAGCTCATCCATGTTGCTGAGAATGGCAGAATTTAATTCTTTTTGTGACTGAGTAGTATTCTGTTGAGTGTGTGCATATATATATGTACATACACCACATTTTCCTTATCCAGTCATCATTTAGGTGGTTCCATCTCTTGGCTATTGTAAATAGAGCTGTGATAAATATGGGAGTGCGGGTATCCCTTCGACATGATGATTTCTATTCCTTCTAAACCCAGCAGTGGGATTACTGGATCGTTTGGTAGTTCTATCTGTAGTTGTTTGAGGAAACTCCATACCATTTTCTGTAATGGCTGCACTGACTTACAGTCCCACCAACAGTGTAGGAGGGTTCCCCTTTCTCTACATCCTTGCCAGCATTTGTTCTTCTCCATCTTTTTGATAATAGCCAGTCTAACTGGGGTGAGATTATATCTCAGTGTGGTTTTGATTTGCATTTCCCTGATGCTTATAGTTATATTGAGCTTTTTTACATATGTCTGTTGGCCATTTGTATATCTTCCTTTAACAAATGACTATTTAGCTCCTTTGCCCATTTTCTAATTGGGTTATTTTTTCTTGCATTGCTAAGTTGTTTGAATTCCTTGTATATTCTGGATGCTAATCCCTTGTCGGATGTATAGTTTGCAAATATTTTTTCCCATTCTATAGGTTGTCATTTCACTCTGTTGATTATTTCTTTTGCTGTGCAGAAGCTTTTTTAGTTTGATATAACCCCATTTCTTTGTTTTTTCTTATACTGTTTGTAGCATAGTCTTCTTTTGTTAACATTAAGGAAAAGTGGAAACAAATGAACTAAGAAGCCATTTTAAGATGTTAAAAAAAAATGAAAAGTAACTCCAAGGAAAGCAGGAGGAAATAAAGATAAAGGCAGAAACTAATGAAACGAAATTAGGTTGATAAGTATAGGAGCTTATTGTTTATGTGCTAAAAAATTTTTTTAAATCATGAAGTGGGCAAATTCAAGGTAAAAAGAAAAATGCAACATTGGAAATTAGAAATCAGTTTTATATGGTAAGTTTTAAAAATTCTAAATAAAAGGAAAGATTTGAGAATTTATAAAATACACAATCTAAGGTCATATTTGTATCTTATAAATAAAAGTGATGGAAGCTGTGAAGAAACCGAGCCATTTGAAAAATTAGAACCGTGATCAAAAAATTACCCTGTATGTGTATAAATAAAATGTTTTATTGATGAGTTTTTCCATACTTTTAAAGAATAGATAATATTAGTGCTATGTGATCTACTTAATATATTTCATGAAGCCAGCATTATCTTTATACCAGCCTTGGCAAAGCACATACATACAACACCTGTACCTTATCTGTAGGCCAGTATTACTTAGGAATAGAGGTACAAATAGGATCAAAATGGCAAACACATCTGCCTTTACTGACACCCCTAACCCTTTGTAAAAAATGAATTATTAAAAAGCAAAAGGAGCTGGCCATGGCTCACTCGGGACAGTGTGGTGCTGATAACACCAAGGCCACGGGTTTGGATCCCATATAGGGATGGCCGGTTTGCTCACTCGGGAGAGCGTGGTACTGACAACACCAAGTCAAGGGTTAAGATCCCCTTACCGGTCATCTTTTAAAAAAAAAAGAAAGAAAAGAAAAAGGAGGATGGCTGGTTAGCTCAGTTAGAGTGTGGTGCTGATAATGCCAAGATCCAGGGTTTGATCCCTGTGGCCAGCCACAAAGAAAAAAATAAAACAAAACAGAAAGATACATTAGTTTTAGAAAATGAGAGTGTAGGGCCGGCCCGGTGGCGCACTGAATAGTGCGCCGCTTGGGAAGCGCGGCGGCACTCCCACCTGAGGGTTCGGATCCCACATACAGACCGGGAAAAAGGAGGATGGCTGGTTAGCTCAGTTAGAGTATGGTGCTGATAATGCCAAGATCCAGGGTTTGATCCCTGTGGCCAGCCACAAAGAAAAAAATAAAACAAAACAGAAAGATACATTAGTTTTAGAAAATGAGAGTGTAGGGCCGGCCCGGTGGCGCACTGGATAGTGCGCCGCTTGGGAAGCGCGGCGGCACTCGCACCCGAGGGTTCGGATCCCACATACAGACCGGTTCCCGCTCACTGGCTGAGCGAGGCGCGGGAGCAACGCCGAGGGTTGCAATCCCGTTGCCGGTCCCCGGTCCGGTACGGGGGCAACACTGAGGGTTGCGATCCGTTGCCGGACACGGAAAAAGACAAAAAGACAAAAAAAAAAAAAAAAGAAAGAAAATGAGAGTGTAAGTTTTGGCAACGGTTGGTGTAGGATTGCTGGAGGAGAGAACAGTCTAGAATGTGTTCAGAACAGTGAGTGAAGATGGAGTTGCTTTGCTTCCTCTAAGCTCATAGCAGACAGGTAGTGAGTGGAGGGAGCATAGAGTATGTGTGCTTTTCTGGGCTGTGCTGAGCAGCAGGCATCTCAGGGGGTGACTCTTGAGCTAAGTCAGTGTGTGCGGTCCCTGGAGCTAAAGAGCCACATCAGGCTGGATAGAGAGCCCCTAGACTCCAGAGGTAAGCAAGCTGCTGTTGGCACAGTCCCCCTGAGACCATGTTCTGCCCCTACACTCTACTATTACTGAAGATGGGCCCCTGTAATCATAGCTGACAGTCATGGGTTTTTGAACAATGATTTTTGAAACAAAACTGAGCAGCAATTAATCAAGAGTAAATATTTGAGAAAAACCAACACTCTGAAAGAGAGGCACCAAATTTTAATAAACAGAAAAATTAACACACGAAAATGTGAATACAGACATAAAATAACTTTAAAGTAACTATATCTTTGGGGAGATTAGAGAAAACATTAAATTTGTTGCTAAAAAAGAGTCAGAACTTGGAAATTTTGAAAATATAAAAATCAGTAAATGAGCTAACTAGCAGAATGGTCACAGTTGAAACAAATGTGTAAACTGGAAGACAGCCCAACTGGGTACATAAAACCCAAGAGATAATGTGAGAGAAAAATTGAGACATGGAGAATCAATCCAGAAGCTCCCAAATGTTTAATAGGAGTTCCAAAAAGGAGAAAATAGGGAGGGGAAGAAATGAAAGAAAGCTTCTCAGAGCTAAGGAAAGACATTTTCTGGTATTTGAGAACAGCAGTGAAGGGACAATCCTAATAGCTTCCAGAGACACTGCAAGTAGCAAAACCCAGCTTGTCCACAAAGGAATCAGAATCAAATTGGCATTTACCTTCTTTTTGATAACACTGATGCTAGAAAACAATAAAGCAATACCATGAAAATTCTGAAGAAAAATAACTTTGATTCTGGAATCCCTATTTGACCTACTTGTTGAAGGCAAAATAGACATTTCTGGACATTCAGAGACTTAAAGTTTACTTCTCACATACCTTTTCTATCCAGTTCAGCAGAATGAGAAATGAACACACTAAGAGAGGAAGACCTGAGAATAAAACAGTGTAAACAAAGAAAAAACAGTAAAATTTTATTTGTCTAAATAGTTGTTGCTGAAACTTAATAAAAAAGAAATGGGAAGAAAAATGGATAGGAATTTGGGATTAAAAAATCAAATGTTACACATATGGTATATATATATATATATGTGTGTTTCACCTAGCTCTCTCACCTGAGAG